GTGACCTTTCTCAAGCCCCCAGGACTTTACTCTTTCTGGTCTCCCTGTGGGCTCCAGAGCATGGAGGATCTCTGGCACCTGGTGGGACATGGGGTACTTTTCCTGTACCAGATCTCTGGTCGTGTGCTTCCTGGGCTCCTGGAGATGAAAGGCTTCCTCCCATCCCGCATCCCCGTTATATTCATGAAGGTCACGTGCAGGAGAGCCATCTGGAGACTAATCTCAGGCATCTGCTGCCCTATTCAAGCTCCCATTGTTAGTGACATCCGTTTTGCTGACAAGGTAATAGAAGTGCTTGGAAGGGCACACTTCTTTGAAGTTAAGGGAAAAGACTAGCTTCAAGTGCTCAGAGGCATTCCAGAAGATCACAAGGAAGAGCTCCTTGTATTCTTTTCAGCATGTCTGCCTTCGTAATGGGTGTTCATTTCATATTTGAGCAAAAGGAAGTACACCAACAAAGTTACCTTCTTGATTAGAAAGTCTCAACGTGATCATGCACCCAGATCTACCAATGCTGTGTGTGTGTGAGTATGCGTGCATATGTATATATACACAATCACAAGTTTGCTTAAAAAAATACTAGCCTTACCAAGTGTGATTTCCTGTGATATTTGCTAATTCTAACCTATACACTATATTAATATAATAATAAAGGCCTGTACTTACCTGTAAGGAAGTTTCAGATGTGCTGTCCTTATACAACCCCATGGATACCGCCACCAGTGGTCTCTGGTGCTTTCTCAGATTCACTCAGTGAAGTAGTAGAAATTGTTTGCCATAATACACACTGGGAAGATACAGGGGCAGAACTTTAAAATTTTTCCTCCATTGATATTATCACATGCATTTATTGCAGGCTGCAGGACCACCCCAACTGTAAGATACACAACTCATTTCCACCATATACTGGGGGGAAATGCTTACAAATCACCTATCTGATCAAAGACTCATGCTTTGTTTTCTTTGGCCTATAGCTAAAGATACTTTTATCACATGCATATCACATATCACCCCCCTCCCCCCAAAAAGTTCTGGGTTTTTTTTAGATTTAATTTATTTATTTGATTGGGGGGTAGGGGAAACAAAAGGCAAAGGGAGAAGCAGGATCCCCGAGGAGCAGAGAGCCTGATGTGGGGCTTGATCTCAGGACCCTGGGATCATGACCTGAGCTGAAGGCAGACACTTAACTGACTGAGCCACCCAGGCGCCCCCAAAAGTTATTTAACAACAAGAAACAATCTAATTAGAAAATGAGAGGGGGCAGCCCTGGTGGCTCAGCGGTTTAGCGCCATCTTCAGCCCAGGGCATGATCCTGGAGACCCAGGATCAAGTCCCGCATCAGGCTCCCTGTATGGAGCCTGCTTCTCCTTCTGCCTGTGTCTCTGCCTCTCTGTCTCTGTCTCTCATGAATAAATAAATAAAATCTTTTTAAAAAAATGAGCATAAGGCTTGAACACACAGTTCACAGAGGATATACAGATAGTAAATATGGAGATGACAAAATAGTCACATCATTATCCATTAGTATAACATAACTTTAAGCCACAATATACTACTACATACCTACTAGAATAGGTAAAATAGAAATTACTGAAAATATCAAGTGCTGATGAGGGTATAGAACAGCTAGACCTGATGTTCACTGATGGTGAACTCACCTCACTGATGGTGAGGATGTAAAATGGTCCAGGATCTCTGGAAATCAATTTACTAGTTTCTTACAAAGTTAAATGTATACCTACTGTATGACAGAATATTTACCCTAGAGAGCCTTGTGAAAATTTACCCTAGAGAAATGAAAATATATGTTCACACAAAACACCATACACAAACGTACATAACGACCGTATTGGTAATAACCCCAAACCAGAGATGCCAATCCCAACCTCCTTCAATGGCTAGATGGATAAACTGTTGTACTGGGAATACTATTCGGCAATCAAAAGGGATATACTACTTACCCTCACAATTTAGGTGGATCCCAAGTGCATTGTACCAACTGAAAAGGCCCATTTCATAAAATTATGTAATTTTTAGTTCCATTTGTATTAACGGTTTTAGAAAACAAAAATTATACTAACAAAATATATCATTGCTTGCCAAGGAAGTAGGGGATGGGGATTAAAGAGTACACTCATCGTGATGGAAACAAACTCCAAAAGAGAAGGAACTTAGGGGGTTTTGTGGGGGGTTGGGGAAATTTCTGTATATTCTGGTAGAATTCTTACAGATTTATACATGTGATAAAAGTGTCTTTAGCTACATACCAAAGAAAACAAAACATAACAAAAAGCACTGATTGCCTGTCTATTTCAGTCTGGTGAAATTCAGATTGATTGCGTTTGTTTTTTTTTTAAGATTTTATTTATTTATTTATTTATTTATTTATTTATTTATTTATTTATTTGAGACACAGAGAGAGGCAGAGACATAGGCAGAGGGAGAGGGAGAACCAGGCTCCCCTCAGGGAGCCCAATGTGGGACTCGATCCCTGAACTCCAGGATCACGCCCTGAGCTGAAGTCAGAGCTTAACCGCTGAGCCACTCAGGTGTCCCTTGATTGCAGTTAAATACTACTCTATCAGTGTCCATCTATGCATTCTGATAAATGAACTATCACACTATAAACAGATTTTTTTAGCTGAACTTGGTTGTAAGAGCCACAGGAACTCTCTGCACTATTTTTACAATTTCTATGTAAGAATAAAATTATTTCAAAATGAAAGATTTTAAATTGGGAGGCTGTAACTTGTACACCTATTAATGTTTGCCAATATCCAGCTTTCTGTCCTTATAGGACAGAATTTCTGGGGTCCACTGCAGTTTACTGAGCCAAATGATAATAATATCCAATAGATACAGTGATTTCAAATAAAATGCAGAGCTACAGAAAGATTGTGCAATATGAGACTTACGCAAATGTGGAAGGAGAGGCAAGGAGTAATCTGTGTTATGATTGGTGGAAAAGATAAAGCAGTAGTCATAAATAAAAGGGGGAACCTGCTAAAGGGATCATATATAACTTCTATTAAATTTCTAATACAGGGAAATAAACCTTATTTCCTGTCCCCTTTAGTGTGCATTACTCTCACTCAGCTGCCACTTAGGCGATATACACAACTTTCTTAGAAACACAAATCCTCTCACTATCCTCTCACTATACTACTCACTATACGTGAGTAGTAATTCACATTGTGTCACAGAGCATATGATAACCTGGAGACAGCTAGTATAGAATTTTTTTTCTGAGTACGTCAAGTCTAGGTTATTATAACCATAAAGATACAGCTCTGGACTCCATGTATCCCTGTCATCTGTGGTCAGTTTAATAAACTGTGCCATTGTCACAGATTCTCCATCCACCCTACAAATGTCTGCATTCTGAGTCAACCTCTTACCCTAAGAACTAGCTGGTGGTAATAGAGACCACTAAATACAGCTATAGGACATCTGGCCTCTGGCATGCCCGGAGCTCAGGAACCACGGAGGACAGCCTGAGCTGCAGACACCATCTAGAGCATCTTTTTTCAGACATGTCCACACTTAGCCCTTTATCTACAGAAGCACTGCAGCAATTGACGTAAGGACATCTCCCCTCAGCTGCCACCTCCCCACAGTGGTAGGCCCCTCCCACTGCCCCTGGCCTAGCCGTCTCCCTGTCATCGCTTACCAGCCCTGCACACTCATACTGCCCCAAAGTCAGTGGACAAGGGCGCTGTACACGGGGAGAAATGCCAGTCTGACAGTCTGCATTTCTGCCATCAACACTGTGCCCAGCCTGCAACACCGGCGAGGATGCAGTGGGCCACCACAGTTGCCAAGAGATGTAGCCCTACTAGGATCCGGCCCATCCAGGATCACATGATGATGCAGGAAAGCCATCTATATCCTGCCTGACTCTGGGCGAGACCTCAGAGGCAGGGTGGGGTGTTTGGTACACCTCTCGTCCTTTCACATCCAGTGGACCTGCCCATTGAGAGCACCTCACAACTTTAGCTGGTGGTGGCAATTCAGAGATTTGCCAAGCCTTTTAACAGAAGTTCTCGGACCTTCTATCCACATTTCCCACCTCTTCTCCTTATGGTTCTTTCTCCACTTTATGCTCAATCCTGGATCCAGAATGCTGACCACCAGCCTGCCCTGGGCTCTCCAAATGAGGCTTTACGTGTGGTGTGGTCTTTCTCCCTTGGACTCTGGCAACTGCTCTGACTTCCAGCCTCGTCTAGCTAAGGGTGCTTGGCTCCACTGCTCATCAACTGATGGTTCTGTCAAGTCCTTGCTTTTCAAAGTAAAGGAGGAATGTCTTTTTCAAAATATAAAGTATGGGTAGCCCGGGTGGCTCAGCGGTTTAGCGCCGCCTTCAGCCCAGGGTGTGATCCCGGAGACCCAGGATCAAGTCCCACGTCGGACTCCCTGCGTGGAGCCTGCTTCTCCCTCTGCCTGTGTCTCTGCCTCTCTCTGTCTCTCTCTCTGTCTCTCTCTCTCTCTCTGTTGTCTCTCATGAATAAATAAATAAAATCTTTAAAAACAAAATATAAAGTATGCCGAGAAAAATCCAGGCACTCAAGACATGAATGCAAAAAATCCCACTCTCTAGGGCTAAGGGATTAACTATATTTCAGACTCAACCTGTTTAGAAAAAAGGAAATAAAAATAAAACAATAATGAGACTATCTTTCACCCAGAAGTTTCCCAAAATTTTAAAGTATGATGAATAAAATGCCTAGGAGGAGGTAAGGCATTCCCACACATTAATTGGACAGACAAGGAAATGTTAGAGCATTTTTGGAATAAATTCAGCAATACTTGTAAAAATTCCCAATCTTTACATTCACCTGCTTTAATCAGCTTTACTGCTTCTTTTCTATGAGAAAGCATGCACTTTTGCCCCAGTTTTCATGTTCAAAGATGTTCATTTCAGTCCTGTTAATCATAGCAACAAATGGGAAACAATTTATATGTCCATTAGGAGGAGAATGGTTAAATTAATTATTGCACAAATATAAGTAGGCTGATCCTTACCTGTTCTTTCTTTTTTGAGGAGGGCTTGGAACTTGATGATTGGAGTTTCCCATAATACATGATAAACATCTCTGTGTAATCAAGACTGGCAATGCCCTGATTGCTCCTATCTTCTTCCTGACGAGGTCTCCTTCAATAGGCCAAAAGGTCTATGAAAAGATGCTCAACATCATTAATTATGAGGGAAATACAAATCAAAACCACAATGAAATATCACCTCATATCAGTTAGGATGGTTATTAAAAAAAAAAAGTGTTGGCAAGAATGTGGAGAAATTGAACCCTTGTACACTGTTGGTAGGAATGTAAAGTGGTCCAACCACTAAAGAAAACAACATGGAAGTTCCTCAAAAAATTAAAAATAGGGACGCCTGGGTGACTCAGCGGTTGAGCTTCTGCCTTTGGCTCAGGGCGTGATCCCAGAGTCCTGGGATCAAGTCCCACATTGGGCTTCCTGCATGGAGCCTGCTTCTCCCTCTTCTTATGTCTCTGCCTCTCTCTGTCTCTGTGTCTCTCATGAATAAATAAATAAATCTTTTTTAAAAATTAAAAATAGAACTACCATATGATCCAGCAATCTCATTCCTGAGCATAAATACTCAAAAGAATGGAAATCAGGATCTCAAAGAGATACCTGCATTTTTACACACCTTGTAGCACTATTCACAATAGCCAAGTTATGGAAAGAACCTAAATGTCCATTGAAGAGAAATGAATAAAGAAAATGTGTTAGGGGGTCCCTGGGTGGCTCAGCAGTTTAGCACCTGCCTTCAGCCCAGGGTGTGATCACGGAGTCCTGGGATCAAGTCCCACACCAGGCTCCCTGCATGGAGCCTGCTTCTCCCTCTGCCTGTGTCTCTGCCTCTCTCTCTCTCTCTCTCTGTGTCTCTCATGAATAAACAAATAACATCTCAAAAAAAAAGAAAAAAATGTGATAAATAAAATATACATACATATTTACACACACACACATATATATCTTTAAAATGTATTTATTTTGGAGGAGGCATGCATGGTAAGTCAGGGGAGGGGCAGAGGGAGAGAGAATCTCAAGCAGACTCCCTGCTGAGCATGGAGCCCCATGCAGGACTTGATCCCATAACCCCAAGGAACATGACCTGAGCCAAAACCAAGAGCCAGCCACTTAAACAGCTGAGTCACCCAGGTGCCCCATAAACTTCAATAAATATATATACATTCATACACACACACAGTTGATAAAATAAATTTTCAACTTTTCATGTTTATGGGCCCTGTTCCTATGCTCTCACAGAAGTTTTACTTTACCATTTATGAAGGTCAAAATGACTTGGCAAAACCTTAAAACATGAGCTCTACTTCTGCCCCAAGCACATTGTACATCTGTTTCACTAAAACAAACAAAAAAAGGAACATTCCAAACATAAAGAAAATAACCTCCCTAATGCCCCTAAGATGAAACTCATACAGCCTCATACATAATAAAAACATAAGATGAAGTCTGTAATTTTCTGTAATGTCCTTTGTCATGAGGATTTGTAAATTTTTATGTAAAAAAACAAAACAAAACAAAACAAAAACACATATAATCCTGCACCAAATGTTCTTTCTATGAAGTGCTCTTTTCTTTCTGAAGATTGTGTATCCGGGGTGGCTGTCCTAACTTGGGCTTGAATAGAACTCTTCCTTTTCCTGTAAAATTGAAAAAAAAAAAAAAAAAGAGGGTTTATTCATTTGTGTCAACACAGTAGAATATTATTCTGCCTTAAAAGAGGAAATCCCGGGGATCCCTGGGTGGCGCAGCGGTTTAGCACCTGCCTTTGGCCCAGGGTGCGATCCTGGAGACCCGGGATCGAATCCCACGTCGGGCTCCCGGTGCATGGAGTCTGCTTCTCCCTCTCCCTGTGTCTCTGCCCCCCCCTCTCTGTGACTATCATAAATAAATAAAAATTTAAAAAAATCTTTAAAAAAAAAAAAGAGGAAATCCCAGGGGCACCTGGGTGGCTCAGTGGTTGAACATCTGCCTTTGGCTTATGTCAAGATCTTGGAGTCCTGGGATTGAATCCTGCATTGGGCTCCCCACAGGGAGCCTGCTTCTTCTTCTGCCTATGTCTCTCTTTCTGTGTCTCTCATGAATAAATAAATAAAATCTAAAAAAAAAAAAAAAGAAAGGAAATCCTGCCATTTGTGACAACATGGATGAGCCTGAAACACATTATACTAAATGAAAGAAGCCAGGCACAGAAGGACAAATACTACATGGTTCTGCTCACATGAAGTACCTAAAATCATCATACTCGTAGAATCAGAAATCAGATCGGCAGTTACCAGGGGCTGGGAAGAGGGGGAAATGGGGTGTTGCTCCATTGATAGAAAGTTTCCAATACAGGATGGATTAATTCTGAAGACGTGCTGTACAACATTGTGCCTATAGTTAACAGTACTGTATTACACACTTAAAATTTCCTTGAGAGATTTCACGTGAAGTGTTTTTAGAAAAACCACCAACAGGACACAAGGAACCTTTCGGAGGTGATGGATATGTCTCTTACCTTGATCGTGATGATGAGTCTATGGATGAACACGTACATCAAACTCATCAAACTATACCTATTAAGTATGAGCTGGTTTTTGTATATTACATCTCAATAAACCTATTTGAAATGAAAAAAGAATTCTAGGGATCAGGTAAAAGAGGGTGGTGGATCTGTAGATCTTGTGGAAATATCTTGTGTCCATTTTATTAAGTCAAGGTCAAGAGGCAGGACAGTATACACATTGTTAATGGCAAATCTTAAGAATTCAAAATATTTTTATAGCACATCTACATATGAAAAAGTCTTGGGTCAGCTTCGAAATGACATACCTTAGATTGTTCGTTGTCAGAATTCAGGGCTGAATTTTGAGGCAAGGAGAGATGGTAATTTATCTGTATTGCTAGAAGTTTCCACAAGAATATATGTACTATTAGCTTTGTTATTAAAATATTTAAATTCATCTAACCACAAAGATAGTAGCTGTGCATTAATCAGATAAAGTGTCCAATAGCTGATACAATAGCAAACCTGCCAAGGCTTCAAACAACAGAGGTTCGCATCTCCTACACATAGTTTGATGAGGGTTGGTGGGGGCCTCTTCTGTCAGACAACCAGGGTCCAGGCTGCTCCCGTCCAAAGGCTCCACTTCTCAACGAGGGTCTCTGGGTGTGCTGCTGAATGAAAGAGAAAGAATGGAGGAGGTACACTGGTTCTCAAATACTTTGGCCTGGAGGTGTCAAACACTTTCTGTTCTTATTTCAGGGTCAACGGTAGTCGCATGACCCTTCCTACACAGGGTGGGACTGTAGTCTCCCTGTCAGCCCAGGAAGAAGACCAAGACACGTCCATGAGCACTTGCAGCTTCTCCCACAAACTGTAACTGAGTAGGTGCTTGATAAAGAGCAATTATTAGAATTTGTTATAAAAACGACTGTCTTCTTGGAGTTTCTAAGGAGGCCAGTTTGCCTTGTAATTCTTCGATTTTTTATCCAGTCCTGCTATGTGACAAGTGCTTTGAAATACTGGGTCATATTTAATTTTCAAAGGGATCTTGTAAAATCTCCCTAAGGTGGGCTCGCCTTTTGCACTCAATAGCACCTTTCTGCACTCACCTTCTAAGTGCATTCAAGAATCTCTACAGGATGAGAATGTTCTCTTTCTATGAAGCATGGTCAAAACTTTAACTTGTTAGACAAAACAACCCTCGACATGACTGAATGTGCAGGACACTTGTACAGATGCCATTAGGCAACAAGACAAACCAGCATCCTCCTCTGGGGCAAGTGCTAAGAGGCTTTGCTATTCCAAGATAGTATGTCTGTATGTCAAGAAATCATTTTGTCTCCTCTTAAAAGATCTCTGGTTGGGACACCTGGGTGGCTCAGTGGTTGAGCGCCTGCCTTCGGCTCAGGTCGTGATCCTGGGATCTAGGATCGAGTCCCACATCGGGCTCCCTGTGAGGAGCCTGCTTCTCCCTCTGCCTGTGTCTCTGCCTCTCTCTCTCAGTCTGTGTCTCATGAATAAATAAATAAATAAATATCTTTTAAAAAAAGATCTCTGGGTTCTAAGAGATTCAGCCTCGGTAGCTGTTTGCTGGACAGTGATTTCCACAGTTACCAAAGCACCGGGGAGGCTTCGGTTGCTGACCATCTAGGTAAGCTCAGTCACTGGTGTACATGTTAGGGGCCAGTCTCAAATACCACACTCCTGCAAAATCCTACTGACAGTATCTGTGTTCACAAAACCCCCTTAGATCTAACTTCAGTTACATCCCAAGAGCCACTATATTCTGCAAGAAGTAAGACTCTAACCACCAGCTCATTGGGAAGACACTTCGATACCCTTGTAGGGATGAGGCAGGGAGGGGGGTGTGCATGTGCTGTGGTAATCAGGTATCTAAACTTTGCTGTCTGTGGTTCGACCAAGGGACAGGACCTCCAAGGTACAGCTGCAGCGAGGTGGAAGGCTCTAAGGGGAGAGCAGGTGATTCAGGACTGTCTGTATCACAGGAAGCCCGGTGCAACCTCCAGTGGACACAGAGAAGAGCTGGCTGGCAAATGAGGTTCCAATTTGGACAGTAGGGCACATTGGGGATGCTTAGGAGCCAAGTAGTATAATGCAGGAACGTGCTGGGACAAGAGGAGCCTCACTAAAGCCCACAGAGAATCCCCAAACTGTGCTGTATTCTTCTAATCACCTTCCTTCATAGGGACTGCTTTTAGCACTTTGGCTAGAGCATCTACATTTTCAATTACCCGGGATATACCTTGGAGTTTGAGAAGAACAGAAAATGAAGAGACAGAAGGTTACATCAGGCTGGAGGAGTGGAAAAGTGTGGGCCCCAGACAAATATAACCAGGGATCTAGTCTCAGCTCTGCCACTTAAAAGCCACATGACCTTGAGAAAATTACAAGTTCAGCTGCAAAGTATGTCTGATGAGCCCCATCCTGTGGGAGTAATGGAATAAATGGAACGGATATGAAGCACTTGGCAGAGGAAGTGGAAAATACTAGGTCTTCCATGAATGGTAGTTATCATAGGATTTGATGTACATATTTTTTTTTAAGATTTTACTTATTTATTCATGAAAGACAGAGAGAGAGGCAGAGACACAGGCAGAGGGAGAAGCAGGCTCCTTGCAGGGAGCCCGACGTGAGGCTCCATCCTGGGATCCCAGGATCACGCCCCAGACCGAAGGTGGCGCTCAACCCAAGCCTCCAGGGCTGCCCGATATACATATTTTTTAACTGCAGATGATACCATCTTCTGCTCCAGGGAGTTTTTTTTTTAATTTTTTTGAAATTTATTTTTTAATTCAGGAGGTACCACACAATATGCAGCTTTCTAGGACAAATAACACCAAACTAACCCTCATGCTGCTTTGCTTAGCAAGCAAAACTAAAGAAAGCTTTCTCCAGTTCAGGTTAAATTACTCAACTTGGGTATGGAAGAGTCTTCTCCAGCTAGATGCAACTCAGATGTCCCAGAATGTGTCAAAAATCAAGACCTTCCCATCCAGACCAGCCCAATTTTCACTCATTTCACTGCCACCAAGAATCTAATCCTCCCTCAGAATTTGCAAAATTACACTTGTGATCATGTAGGTAATCTTTAAATGAATTGGGACCTGGTTCCCCACCCAATTCAGAGCAGAGAGCCAACACAGTAACTCCTCAACATTGTACCTCAGAGGAGCAGCACCCTGAAGATGCTGTGCCTACAACGAGACTACGCTCTTTGTCCAAGTGCCAGTGAACAAGAACACAGGCTAGCTTCCATTTCTGCCTCTGGAGGAGGTCTTCCTCTGGTTTACCGATGATGGTACCAAAGTCACACAAGGGCAGGTTTGCATTCTGTTGTCCTTCAACGCCGAGAAAGCATCTGTCTGTCCACCCTTTGCTCCCCAGCCCCACAACCTTGCGTGGCCCACCAGGCAGCTTAAATACTGTCTGTCCACTCCCCACCACCCACCCTGAGGGGCTTGTAATTTCCCCAAACCCCCAACTGCCTTTCTTCAGGGAATTTATATCTTATGGCTCAGCCAGACACCCTCCCTGTCCCGCTTCTCTCAACCCTCTCCTGGCCTCCTTACCCCTTTACTCCTTCTTATTGGTCCATTAGGTCTTAGAGGGGCTCGCACCATCTTCTTTATATGATTACTGTTCCCAGACTGTGCAATCCTAAGGCCAGGAGTGTTTTATATCCTAGCTTCCCCACTTCTAACACCGTGACTTTCTAAGAGCAGACATTCAGTTAGTATTTGTAAAATAAATGAGTCAGCAAACACGAATTCTAGTTTTCAAATGTTTTATTTCTCCTACATTCTTTAGTAAGTAAACCAAATCTAGCTATGTATCTTCTTGCAGAACAGACTAAAATGGAAAGGGGAAACCAAGAACTGAGCCTTTTACTTCTCTCCCCTCCATTTTTCGATCCCAGTAATTTTACTGCTAATTTTTTTTTTTTTTGCATTTCAAAGGGAATGCTTGGTATAATGCCATGTTTTATTGTTCTGTTTGGGTAAACATGAAAGGCTTCCTAATTTGTTTTACTAAATAATAAGACTCCTAATCTTAAATCTATTAGACAGCAATGAATACCCAAATCATTAATAAATTTTTATTTAAAAATTAGTGTAAACTTTCCATTAAAGAAATAATTTTTGAAATATGACAAAAGGCAAAAGAGTGAAAGGAAGAGAGAAAGGAAAAAAGAGAAAAAGAAAGAGAAGAAAGAAAGAAAAAGAGAAGAAAGAAAGAAAAAGAGAACAACAAAAAAAACACCCTAAGTTTACCAGATAGAACAGGAACACAAAGATGATATTCACTGTGTTCCTTCCATACCCACCCTGGCCATCTACTACTTAGAATGTTGACTTTTTCTCTTCCACAAAGAAAACAATCTGCATCAAACTTCAACATCTGAAATATAACCTAAAAAAAGAAATGAAATTCCATGTTACTGATATACACAACAGGAACGCCAAATGACACAGGCTCCACTAGCCCGGCCCTGCCTCCCCACCCCCGCCCCCCGTTAGAATGGTGACACACCTTCTCGACCAGCCTCAGCCCTCACTTAGTGTGGGAGATGCCCCCAGCCAAGGCCCTGGCACGTGCACGGACCAGGGCAGCAGTCCGAGCCCGGGCAGCAGCTCGGGCTCGGGCTCGCTCTTCCTCATCTTTCAAAGCCTCTTCATACCAGGCTGGGAAGGCAGTGGGGACCGTGTCATGAACCTTGGCTAAAAACTCAAGGACTCTCATCTTGCTGGTCTCAGCATGGGCCCTGGGCCCCCACAGGAACTCGTAGCGTGGAGGGAAGCTGTCGGGTGCCTGGCGGTACTCCAGGTACCTTAGCTGCACTAAATCTTCAGTGATGACCTTCCTGGGGTCCCCATAGATAAAGTGCTTCCTGTTGGCATAGACACCCATCATATTCAGGACTTCCCAGACCTCCTCCTCTGCGGCGCAGTTGTCCTTCATGAAGATCACACCCAGCACAATCATCAGGAGGCCCGTCTTGGGCATGTTCTCTTCGTCGCGCATCGTCCCATCGAAGGTGAGGTCTAGTTTGCTGACAAGGGCATAGCAGTGCCGGATGGGATCCACTTCCTTCAAATCAACACCGAAGGCCAGCTCCATGTGCTCAGAGGCTCTCTTTAGGATCTCATTGAAATGACACCTGTACTTTTTGATGACCAACCTCAGCATGTCTGCCTTGGTAATTGGCTCTTTATTTTGATACTTCTGCAGTAGGAACTGTACCAACAGAATCACCTTCTTGTTTAATGGGTCTCTGCGTGAGACCTCAGTGCCACTAAAGGAGTTGGGGCTTCCCTCATCTTCGCTCTTGGCACCTTCATCTGAATCAGTGCATGACATGGCTACACTAGCACTGGTGGAACCTGAGGCTCCCTTAGGTGCCTGAGGACTGCTAGCTGTTGCAGCAGCAGGCAAATTCTCAGGGCGGCCCCCCGAGAGAGCACAGGCAGTGGAGAAGGACTCCCCTGCAGCTGCTGCGGTGGCCTGAGCACGCTCCAGGTCCTGGGCCTCACTACGGGCCTGGCGGCGCTTCTCACGGGCACGGAGCTTACTCTTCTGACCTCTAGGCATGGTGACTCTGGTCAGGGACAGCAGGCGGGTGTGCAAGCAGTTAGCTTGATGAAGAGGTCACCCTGGAATATGAAGAGATGGTATGCAAAGCCTCGCTAAGGATGTTCTACCCAAGCTCCAAGAAAAGGTGTCTCTGTTTATCCCCTTAAGGGTACTGTCTTAGGAACCCACAAAGCAGGGGTGGGCAGGACTCCATGAACCTCTTCCCTTCTGGGGGTGGTTGTCACCCCAGTTCTAAGTCAGAAATTTATTGACTCCTCGAAACCTCCCTCTGATGACTTGAGGCTGCCGCTTTGGACAAAGGCCTGCCGCCAGGCAAATTCCCAAAGCGCAAGTGAGGGCGTCAGGCCTAAAAGCCACGCTAGAGCCACGAGTTCAGGGCAGTGGGTGTGGGGCACTCCGGAATAGGGCAGGGCTCTTTGGGTCACCCCAGTTCTTTCAAATGAGTCTTTTTTTTTAAATTTTTTTATTTATTCATGAGAGACAGAGAAAGAGAGAGAGAGAGGCAGAGACACAGGCAGAGGGAGAAGCAGGTGCCATGCAGGGAGCCCGACGTGGGATTCGATCCCAGGTCTCCAGGATCATGCCCTGAGCCGAAGATGGCACTAGACCGCTGAGCCACCAGGGCTGCCCCCACCCCAGCTCTGAAAGGAGTGCACCTCTTCAGTTCCAACAAGTTACTCACCTTGACATCTGTCCAGTCCCAGGACTCCTCCCTTCGCTGGCATAAGACCACACCTCTATACCTTTCCCAACAAGCTCTGGGGCTCCCTAACGGGCGGGGTTAACGGAAGACAACATGAGCACTTCCGGCCACGCCCACCTGGGCTTCCACCATAAAGGCCCGGGTGGATTTCTAGGGTATTCCCCTCCGTTCCGCTGGCAGAAGAATTATGTAGAACTCAAACAGGGGTCCTTCCTGACTCCTGACAGCTTGAGCCTGAGGCTTCTTCCTCTGGTGAACTTAGCCAGCTCACCTCAGACCAAGGCTTTCATTTCCCTCAGAACCCCAAGTAGAAAGTAAGTTAGGAGCTGAGCCAAGCAACCATGATTGGGGCCTTCCAAGACTCACAGGGGTTGGTGGGGCCGAGGGTGGGGACCTCTCTGTTGCTCCATCTTTTTGGGTGGGTTCTCCCCTCAGTCCTCAGTGTCATACCTTGATGTCTTGTTGGTGCTGGGCTACTTCTCTTCTGCTGACATGAAGCCAAATATATCAGGTAAGGTAGAAATCTGTAAATAATTTAAGGAGAATTGACATGTGTACAATATTCTACTCATGGTAAATAAACATGATATTTTGCTATTTGAGACTTCCTTTACCTAAGTCTGTTATTTATATTTGCTTCCATAAAGGCCATGTACATACTTCTTAGTTCTCTTTCTTCGGTATATTTTTGATAATGCTACTGTTTGAATGGTATATTTTCTATGATATATTGTTATTTATTTTGTGTGGCTAGACTTCTGATTTTGCGGTAGTGATCTACATCAGTATCCTGAAGTTCCTTATACATTTGAATATTTTACAGCCAATTTCTTTCGAGTTCTTAATTAGGGAATCTCAAGATCTCTTTTCATAAACTGTAAATTTCATTTTCTTACTCCTATGTACGGCTATATGCTGGCTATGCAAACCAGTCTGGGTTTGAACACTAGAAATTTACCACACTGCCATGTCCTGTTCTGACTTTAGTGGGAATGTTTTAACATTTCACACTTATGTATGTGTGCTGGTAATTTCACAATATGGAGGGGGATCCCTGGGTGTCTCAGCGGTTTAGCTCTGCCTTCAGTCCAGGGCATGATCCTGGAGTCCCCGGATCGAGTCCCGCGTCAGGCTCCCTGCATGGAGCCTGCTTCTGCCTCTCTCTCTCCCTCTCTGTGTCTCTCATGAATGAATAAATAAAAAAATCTTAAAAAAATTTTTTTACAATATGGAAATTCTATTCTAATATGTTTGCTAACAGTCACTAGCATGAACTGGTGTTGAATTTTTATCAAAGGGTTTTTTCTTTCAGAACATGATAAAATGCTCTCTCTTCTCTGTTAACATAGTGAATTCCAATTTGCAGTTTTTTCTAATGTGATATGATCTTTGCATTCCTTGGACACAGACTATTTCTTCATTTAATTCACTGCTGTATTGAATATGCTATGAATTTATTTAGAATATGTATATGAGTGAGCTTGACTCAAATATTTTTTTCTTGGACATACTCATCTGGTCTTTGTATCAAGGATAGTTAGCCTGTTAAAGTTGTTGAATAATTTCCCATCTTCTTGTATGGCTTGTAAGAGCTTATGTAGTGTAGTGATTAGCTTTTCCTTTATCATTTGATGTTAATGACCTTTCAACCTGGCTGATTCTGGTATATTCTGAGGGCAAAATTTGTCCTGAAAAGTTATCAGGACTCCAGTTTCAGGTTATATTGTTCAATGAAAGTTTTATATTTCTTTATGGACTATTTAGTGATTTGTATTTTGCTAAAAATGGGTTCCATTTTATTCGGGTTTTCAAAGTTAAAGACAGATTTATAATAAAATAATTTTATTATGGAAATTCTCCACATGGAGTGACATTGAAGTTAATTCCATTAGGAGACACATAACATCTATTGTTTCCTTTGTGGTAATGCTGGCAATCATTGATGATCATCAGTGTCATCCATTAATCCCTTAGGGGCTGCTGAACTGTAATTCTTGAGTTCTGTCATTTCTTCTGAGATTATTAGCTAAAATATATCTATAGGTAGAACCTTTTTTATAAGACTTTATTTATTTATTTGGGGGAGGGGAGACAGTGCGCACACAAGTGGGAGGAAGGAGAGGGAGAAGCAGACTCCCCACTAAGCACCCCACTAAGCAGGGAGTCAGACTCTGTGGAGCTTCATCCCAGGACCCTGGGATCACAACCTGAGCTGAAGGCAGCCACTTAACTGACTGAGCCACCCAGATGCCCCAAGGATATTCTTTTTACTGAATTGGTGGGATGATGAAATAAAAGTATATATGAGAAAATACTTTGGAAGTTTCACGAATTACTAGTCGTTTAGAAATATTTATTGGATTGAAACTTTGAGGGGCACCTGGGTGGCTCAGTGGTTGAGCACCTGCCTTTGGCTCAGGTTGTGATCCCAGGATCCTGGGATCGAGTCCCACATCAGGCTCCCCACAGGGAGCCTGCTTCTCCCTCTGCCTATGTCTCTGCCCCCCTCTCTCTGTCTCTCGTGAATCAATAAAATCTCTAAAAAAAAAAAAAAAAAAAAGAAAGAAACTTTGAGAAAGTCCTAAAAATCAGTCTTGATCCATCCTTTGAGATACCAGTATCTTAGTTTTTTGTCACTGCATAACAAATTATGTCAAACTTAGTGGCTTAAAATAACACCCATCTATTATCTCACAGTTCTTTTGGTCAGTGGTGTAGATACAACTCATTTGTGTTCTCTGCTCAGGTCTTCACTTTCAAAGTGTTTTGTTGCTGGGCTGCATTCTTATCAGGAGGCTTTGGGAAGGGTCCACTTCGCCAAATCCAGTTAACCTGTCACTGTAGCGCTGAGGTCTCCATTTCTTTGCTGGCTGTCAGATAGGGGCCACTCTTAGCTCCTAGAAATGGACTACATGCCTTGCCATGTGGCCCTCCTCATTTTCAGAGCCATCAGTGGAGAATCTCCCTGATGGAGAATCCCCAGCACTTGAATCAATTTCTCCATGAAGAACGGATCTTGCCCCTTTTGAGGGCTCACCTAAATAGGTCTGGTCGACCAAGGATAACCTCCCTTTCTTAAAGTCAGCTGTGGCATGTAATATAACTTAATCATGGGAGTGACGTCCCATCATATTCATAGGTCCTTCATTCAAAGGGAGAGGATTATATGGGGTGTGGGCTATTGGGGGTAATCTTAAAATTCTGCCTATCACACCTTGAAAAAATAAATGATTACAGAATTTCTGACCATAACTGTAGCTGGAACTCCCAAGTTGCATATACTGTACTAAATTTAGAACAAAAGGTTTTAAGTCTCTAATGCTGTTGTTTTGGTTTGTTGTTGTTTTTACCTTCTTCGAAACAATCGTGTGTGATGGCTGTTAGCATGCATCAGGGAACTGCTTAAATGAGCTATGTGCTGCAATAGGAAAAATTAAGGCTTCTCATCCCCAAACTGAAAGGCTGCATTCAGACACTGAACTTTAAGGGATCTGTCATTTCATCATTAATGTTTTCATGTTTTATCAACTCAACAGCTACTCTCTTTCTGCTTATTGTTTATTTAACAAATACGCAGAAGGCTAAGCATCATGCTAAGAGTGGAGTAGGTAGTAACAACCATTCATTCATTCTTCTTTCCATCAGAGTGACTCTAAATGTAAGAGGCAATAAATTACTCTTATATCCTACTATTTTCAGAGGCATAGGAATGGTCACATAACAAAATGAGGGATGATGCATGGATCACTCAACTGGAACATGGACATCTGAATTTCAGTGATGGCTCACCTCCAGCATGCCTCTCAACCTGACCATACCTTTGCCTGCCTAGGTTTCAGATTCTACACTGAGAGGTTGGTAGACTAGCCTATTGCAAGTATTTACTGCTTGTCACCAGCACTTACTACAAATGCAAAGGAATTTTAGACTCTATAGAAAATGTGTAGGCAATTCAAAAGGAGTTTCAAATGAAATGCCATTAATTCACTTGGAAAGGAGTAATTGGCCAAATAGAATAACGACATATCCATAATAATAATCATAGAAGTTCCGACCAGGTAGCTGGCAAAATTTTTCTTGGCTGAAAATGGGAAAAGTACAGGGATTTTAGGAGAAAAAAAATGCCTACCAACAACACAAGTTTAGTCCACTTATACACTAGGGGCTTGTATATTTTATCTTTAAAAGAAGGATTATTAGGGACGCCTGGGTGGCTCAGGAGTTTAGCACCTGTCTTTGGCTCATGTCATGATCCCAGAGTCTTGGGATCGAGTCCCGCATCGGGCTCCCCAGA